AGGCATTTTTCTTCAGATATTTGTAACCACAACAAGAGCTTTAACAACTCCTGGAATACATGGGTATTCAGGGTCATTGCCTTGATAAGAGAACAGATGTAGGCTTTTTAAAGCAATAATACTACAACGTAGACATGGAATCAAGATTAGCTAGCAGAAACAAGTAATTAGCAGATCGAGAAAACAGATAAATAAGCGAACTATTCATTCTTTTTCTTAATGCAACGGCTAGTTTGTGAGATTACGTATTGAGAACTATCGCATTTAACAAAAGGATCACCACCAACATCCTTCGTTCGCGTGGATCAATCGACTGTTCACTATATTGAACCTAGGACTAAAACTATTAGATTAGGATCTCTTCATATATGCCAGTTAAGAAGTAAATTCCTTTTGGTAGGAACTCTGGAGCTAGCGACTTTCCACAGGGCCCTGCCTCCCTCACACGATATACACTAGAAATTTACGCCCAGCACAATTTATCATTTCTATAAAATCCGTATCGCAGCGAGTGTTAGTCAGACCATTCGCGTGGATTACAATATCGCGCACAATAATTTCTTGTTTCCTAACGAGCGGATTTGGACTTACAATTGCGGTTAGCTAAATTTACCCTTTGTTCGTCAGCTTAGAGAGGATATTAAATACTATGATTTTCACTAGCATACGATTAGATTAAACTCAGTTATATCAAGTACTTATAAATAGAAACCAACTTACCACGCATTTTGGAAAAAAGATCATGACGGTTGTATATATGCTTTATGAATTATCTAAATGAGTTATTCGAAGGTCTAAAGACCACGATGGTTTGGCCTTGTTTTCGAAACTTGGTCATATTGATAGGAAGATCTAAGTGAACGCACCTTGTCCGAAGCCTATAGTTGGCATGATAATTTCCAGTCGGACTGTGGACTTAGTACATTCCCAGACGTTTTGCCGGCATCGTCAGTGAGCTTTTTCATTGTTAGCACCATACTACAACTAGTAAAAGAGACAGGTGAAATCGATCCTTTGCCAAATTGTCTGCTGTTGCGGTATCTCCCATTCTGCCCCGGGGCATTCAGCTATCCTATATATCCGTATCACCCATTCAATAGCATAATTTCTCACCTGTTGAACTAAATCTAGTTGAAACCAAATCACACCCATATTGTTCTGGAAACGCTGACCTAGGGCTGCAGTTTAGACCACAATCCTCTTACTTCAGGCCCAATCAGGGCCTCTGTAGGATCCGTCTCTTATCTGCCTAGTTCGCTTATCTCACTCTACCATTGGCACCATATTCGTGCTACCCGAGGTGTTATGCGCTACGCTCTGCCAATATGATCAAGCCGCGAAAACAGGGTCAAACAATTTCTATACACGAGTTATTGTTTGCTAAATTACTTCAGTGGAGCCAGCAAACACTCCAAAGATGTAAGTTAATGCAATAATACTCTTAAGTGCTAACTTGTGGAGGGCCACACTAGCCATAATCCTGACCTACCCTAAGTATGCGAAAGAAAATTGGGTTTCGGGGGATCTCTTATTTCATAATTGTTAAACGAGATTTCTTGATTCGTTAGCTTGAATATGGTTGTAAGGATGATACCATGCTCTGATGATGCTCGTCATACGACGGGCGAAAGCTTAACAAACTTTCGCTGGATTTGAAGGAGAATAGCTCGGAAACAGTGTCAACAAGGTTCAAGTAAAGCCAATCGACAGATGATCAAAAGGAATCCGTCTTCGTCATCCGGTAGAATCGACCGTCAAATCTTTTCACTAAACACTTCCGCTTGAAATAGAAGTAAGCTCAAGAGTCAAGGGAGTGTTTTCTTAAGAAGAAAGCCTTTTAAGTCTCTTAGAAGAGTGAATACGGACTAAATGAAGTAAAGGTCATAATGAGTAGGCATTTTAAAATTGAGGTTCCCTTAGCTTGTCCGAGTCTGATAAAAGGAGAAAAAAATTAGATAATAGGCTAAAGCCGATTAGTGTTTAATGTACTTATTTTTGGGTTATAAATAAATACCCAAATCAGACAGAATGGCGAAGTAATTTGTAGTCCGGGTCCATTGGATCCTGACCGAGAAAATTTCCAGATGAATAACAGACAAATAGCATATTGGAAACTCGTAAAAATTAGGTCTTAATTGCAAAAGGCCAACAAATAATAAATGCTGCAAGGCTTTAGAGTTACTTATAGAATCATGCTTGCATTAGTTCACAACTTTGAACTCTAATGAATCCAATATCTGATATTATCAAAATAAAGTGACGAATGTTGATTACAAATTCAGAGCTAGACCATAATTTCCAAAATAAAAGGAGCTCGAGCTCAAGAGCCTTGCACATTCCACAGCGATAAGATTTCTTAACCAAACAGAGGCTGGGGGTAAAAATTCACTATGGGTAATCGTTCAAAAGCAATTCCATAACAATCAGAGTAATATATACGTAAAATGAAGAAGCCAATGCCACTAGTAATAAGGATATTTCCCATGTTCACAACTATACTGGTAAAAATTCAGATAAACATAACTGAAATGAGCCTTCGGAAGATAAAAAACCGTCTTAGTAAAACCATTTTCGAAAAAAGACCTACACCGTGAGTCCATCAAAAGCAGGAAATATACAACGCAGTAGAAAACTAAGCACAAAAATACGAACACAATAGTGGGAAGCAAGGAAAAATGAGACCAAAATTGGAATTATGAATCAAGAAACAGACTAAGGCTTTAATGAAGATGCGTATGCTTTGAAGAGAGAAAAAAGCAGTGATTATGAATAAGATAGAGCCAAATCAGGTCAAGTCTGGGTTAGGGATCCAAATCTTGCCAGACGCTTGGCTAAACGATCTTGATTAAGGGATGAGGTGACTGAACCTGTTGATTTCGGGTCTGGGGAAGCACCGAACCTGTTCAATCGAGCCTTCTTCTTGCGCTCTATATCAGTTGGATCGTCCGTAAGCTTGGAAGAAGGGAGGTC